AAATCGCAATATTTCTTATTCTTGTGTTTATGTTTTGTTTCAATAGGTTCTTACCAGAGATGACAAATATTTAATCACCTGTGATAGAGATGAGAAGATACGTGTTAGCTGTTATCCTAACTCATACAATATCCATTCATTTTGCCTTGGAAATTTAGAGTAAGTGAATCATATTTGAGCACTAAATTAAAAGTATTCAGTGCTATCATATATTAGTATCAATCTATTAGCATTCTATCAGAAATGCCATTCTCTGATTGGTTACCCTACTCACTATTTATTCTGTGATAGATGATGAGAAGCATAGCAGTGTGCCCTTATTAACAAAATGATGGCCGCTTCTTGGTGTTTTCGAAGTGTCTGTGAAGAGGATTTAGATAAAGCTTTAAATGTCTAGTGTATTTATACTAAAACAATTAGATTATTTGCCAAACCTAAATAACTACTTAATATTTACCAACCATGTTAAATATTTCTTTTGTTTGCAGTTTTGTTAGTTGTTTAGCCCTCCTAACAGCAGGTGGCCAAGGAACTCTTGCTTCAGGTGGCGGGGTAAGGAATATTGTTCAAAAAAACAACAGAAAGTTTGGTCAAGATGTAGGAGTAGCCATCATATTGGTGACTTTTACACCATGCAAGTATAATTTTCTCTCTTTTGTTTAGGAAATAAACTCAATCACATATTTATCTAATTTTTTTGAAATATTTGCAAGGATGGGTTTGTGCGATTTTGGAACCCTGAATCAGGCAAGCAGATTACTGCAAAGATGATTGATAACTCAACAGATAGCACCAAGGTTGAAGATCAAAAGGTATTTATCTGACTGTCAGCTGTATGTTGTAACTTTATTCTTTAAAAGAAAGGGGAATGAAAGAAAATGTCAACAAAGGGAAATTAGCATGATCTTGTAGCAATAATATAAATATTGTACATGGCATTTGACGGAGCCAAGCTCATGGATGTGCCATTAAAGTGACTCAGGCCACAAAGTCCAGGTTTGAGCCTTGCATGGGTCATTGCATTGCGCACTTAGGCTGATTGAAGAAATTTTATTACTCTCACATTACCTATTTTCTCCCAAAGGTATGAAGGGCACCAGAGAATTGTTGAGGAAACATGGTTTGGATGGTGTGTGTGTGTGGGGGGGGGAGCAGGAGTTTACTTGTGACTTCCCATCTAGGCAGATTTATAGCAATCCTGATAACCGCTAAAGGTTTTAAGAAATATTGGATCTTAAGACTGCTTACTAGGTAGCCTTCACAACAAGTGTTCCCAGTCAAGCAAAGATTTTTTCGCCTTTTTCGCCTTCAGACCTTGTGAAAATTGACTTTTCTCCACTCCATTGATTTTTTTGCTGTCTCCCCAATTTTCTCTTGTACAGGAAAACTTGCTTTACTAGAGTGCTCACAGTCTCTGTTTTGCTCACAGATGCGAGAGAAGAAACACAAAGGAACGACAAGAGGCGAGTGGCAAAACTGATAGCCACAAGTAGTGTGGGTGTCAGCTGTTCATTTGCATTTCTTCCCTCGAGGATCTTTGAGCAAAAGAGAGAGTGCTCACAGTCTATTGCTTCACGGGCTACTCACTATGTCTGTTTACTTACAGGAAGACTTGATGTGTAGCCCAATTATATCATGTTTAGCTTGCTGTCACAAACATTCTGTGGTGTGTATTCTAGCCGAAAGGTTAGTAAGAAACAAATATCAACTTCTTATTTCTCCTTACAGCATGTGTGTGTCATCAAGAAAATAGCAGGTGATGGAAGTAAACAGGAATTGATATTTTGATTGATTTTTAGCTTTAAAGTGTTAAATATCTGTCTTCTTGCTTGTTTACAGGTGCAGAACAATCCATTTATATCATGTAAGTGAGAGAGAGGTTACTTCCCTCCCCTCCTTAGAGACGAATGAACCCCCCTGGAGTGCAGTATTTGACCCTGCGGGCAGACTTTGGTGTATACAGCCCTACCCTGAAGAGCCTGTTTTGGTGTTTGAGCCCAGAGGAGATTCGCCCAACTTAACGGTGTGTAAAATACAAGAAGCAATTTACGCTACAACAGTTTTTTGATGGGTTTTCTGAAGACCTCAGTAACACCACAGCCCTTTTTCTCTGATCAATCCCAACTTACAAATGCAAAAGATATAATGCACCGATCAGAATCCTAGGAAATAAACATGGGCCTTTTAGATTGTCTTCTACTCTATTTGTTATTTTACAAAAGGTTTAAAACTTGCTTGTTTTTCTCTCACAGTATGCCAAACTTTCGTCTGACTTCTCGCCGGTTTTCTCATCAGCTAGTGATTGGAACTTTTTGAAAGGTATGTTAAATCTGCACACTCATGAAAAAAAGGTCTGATGGATGAGAGGTGAAGACTCTAATATAATTCGAAAGCGTACATGCATTGAAACCTGCGAATATATGACACATGTGGAAAGCGCTGGAAAACATAGCACGTGTGGACAGCGCGGGTAAACATAGCACGTTGAAAGTACGGGAAAACATAGCACGTGTGGAAAGCGCGGGAAAACATGATATAAAAATGTGGCACTTGTGAAAAGCGCGGGAAAGAGGTCCTGCGCAAAAGGTCTGGAGAGTAACCTGGGGAGTTTCAGTGCAAAGCCACAGCAAGCGTTGAAAAAGCGCTATAACATTATTTGCTTTCTCTACCAAACAAGAGTACTATATCCTCACTTGATTTGCTTGAAGGCAAAATTCGGTTTGCTGTGCATATCAGTAAATGCCAAAATAAAACTAGTTGCGTCAACCTTTTAGCATCATTCTGGCGCGACGGTGTTCTGGACTTGTTTTCTCAGTTATCTACCCCGGGTACCGGAGGCTTTTCATACGCGGATTCTGGTAGCCTGAAATGTCGGTCATCTCCCGCCCTCAGCCTAATCCCCGGGTGAGAGATTAGATTAGATTTATCCCTGGAGATTAGGCTTAGGGCGCCGGGAGATGACTAGTATTTTAGGTTAGGATTCTGGTTTTAGTGAAGTCTTTACTGTGACCCGCTCAAGCTGCTTCTCGTGGCGTCGGCCTTCAGTCGATCCGAAGTATCCCGACGCATAAGCAGGCGAAAACCTCTGGTACCCCAGGCCCCAGGGTACCGACTTGCAATCGACTAACTTTTTACATAACACATACATTCCTTGTAGCTCCCTGTCCTACAGTATCAAAGCTCCTGTTCTATAACCAAGCATTACCTACACCCACATTTACTCTCACAGGTTCCTTACATCGGGAACGAAAACTAGAGACACTGAGAAAAAAAGAGGTGGACAATATATCGGAATACCTGACGAGAAAAGAGGACCGAATAGGCAAGAAAAAGAACAAAAACAAGGAACCAGACAATGGTCATACAGCAATGGACGACTCCAGTCTTGAAAAAACAGAAGAAAACGAAGCGAAGAGACCAAAGCTCGAACTAACCAGTTGAAGTGACCAGGCGAACAAGGTTGAGACTCTTGCCAAAGGCAATGATGAAATCAAGTTTAACAGCCGAATAACAAAGGCCACTGCAGAATGCGTCGCTGTTTCTGTTTTGAGCAATTTTTGTTATCGTTCTATGAATAATTGGCAAGGAAACTGGTTCGTCTCTTCCATCAGTAATGTTGAATCAAAAAATACACGCTGTTTGTCATTGGTGAACAAGACACCAGGAGATGACAATGTTTTACCTGTGAAGTGTTGTACTTGGTTCTAGTGCTTGGATCATCTTGGCGGTGAGACAGGAACATACCAACACTGGACTTCAAAGGCTCAATAAAAGAAAGATAATTAAAATCTTATAACTTTATCATTTTTCTATTCTCTTCGGCTGGATTGGAGGGCTATCGGGGAATATCGTTCTTCCTATCTTGCATGTTTCATCTAACTTAGAGACTGCTGAGTAGATCCGGGGATGTAGCCCGGAAAGCCACGCTCTGACTGGACAATAAAATCAAAAGCAGGGACCAGGGGGCCGTTCAGTTCTCGAAAGACCCGGAAACTTTTCGTGCTCGTAAAACCATTTTTAGTTCATCTGTATCTAAAAACGGAGAAGTGTATACGAGACTTATACGCCTGAAACTTCTTGTATGAAGGGGAACCTCTGTTCATATTACGAATATGTGAATAAAACAGCTCTGTAATCATAAGGTTCGAGATTTTACAATGGCTTTCCGGTTTGGAAAACTTTTCGGGACTTCGAGAAACGGGCCCCAGACCATAAAATGAGTGAAAAAACCAACCACGCACTGATTCGCGCATGAGTTTTGGAACTTTTGTTTGTTTAGTTTTTTAGTTTTTTTGTTTTTTTCGTTACTTGATATACAGTTGAACCTCTCGACAAGGGCCACCTTGGGGACAGAGGAAAGTGGCCGTTATGGGGAGGCAGGGGTAGGTAGGTAACGAACGACGCTTGATGCAGATTACGTTTGGTAACCTTTTACAATAAAAAGTGGGGTTTGTATACACCGTTCCTCAGTAGTTGATTAACTGGCTGTTGTCGAGAGGCTGTTGCCGTTGTGGAGAGGGGACCGTTTTAGAGAAGTTATGTATGGACTATCCGCCGTTGTCGTACCGGTTTTTCTGGAAATGGCCATCTTTGTGCCGAAGACTTAGATTTCAATGGCTTTCCTGACGTTGAGCTGAATTGTACCGCAAAGGAATGTCGCAAGGTAAAGTATGACAAGAAAGGTTGCGAATGACAGACCACCAATTACTTTCTGCTCGAAAAGATAAAGTAATTTAAACTGAGACTTGTCATTGAGTTAAGTTCTCCTGCTGATCCAATTTTAACGAATTAACGTCTAAATAAAACGAGACTTAACATTTCAACGAGACATTCACGCAACGATGCTGTTAAGACTTGGGAAAATTAATTTTTTTTTCTCTTGCTCTTGAGAATTCTAGCCTGTCTCTTTAATCTCATGAACTTCAGGCATCTGCAGAATGTAAAGCAGTTTCTGCCAGTTGTTTCGGGGTTGTCGTGCAGTTTACCGTAACAAATTAACTCCGGAGAGTTCCGGAGTAATGACACTTGTTTGTTCAGCCGGGCAACCTGTCAAAATTGTTACGACAAATTGTTACTAGTAGGCTTCGTGCAAGTTCGCGGAAAACAATAATTATAGACAAACGCAGGTATGGAAAATTAAAAACGTGACTAACCTCGTTCAATTCCCCAGGTCTTTTCTCTTTGAAATTGGGAAAAGCCCTGGCAACGAGGTTGAAGCGTGACTGGATACTTTCTGGCACAGCTACATCCCTCAAATTTGGTCAGTGCAATCTTTTGTCAACTATCTGCACTTTGCTATTCATGAACTGTTCAGAATTCGACTTTTAAGATCATTATTTGCAATCGGATTTCCATACAAACATTGACGCTGTTGCCCGACAAGATGGTTTCCGAAACCGTGATAAGCTGTACATATGTTGTTATGCTGCTAATAAAGGCCCAAGTTGCAACCAGGCATGCATAACGCAAGTCTAAGTTTTTGTGCTGAGACAATGTTCGATGATATCAGTACACACTATGAAATGGTGTTTTGACTTTTCTCAACTCGAGTACAGCTACACGTGAACTCAAACCACGAACTGAAAAACGCTTAAATGGTCTTTTTGCCACTTTTTGGATGGACTGTGGAGTCCAAAAAGTCCAGTTCCCGTATAAGGTAGTAGCTAGGTAAAGTCTGCATATATGAGCCAAGTGGCCCATTAGGCCAGCGCATATCTCCGGTTTCTGTAGACCTATCTGTAGCATGAAGCGGCTTAAAGTTTATTTACACGTGCACTCCTCCGTGGATGGGATGCTAGTCCATCAGAAGGCCTGTTTACTTCAGCAATAAATTCGCTGGTACCTATTTGTACGCCTGGATGTAGAGAAGATAGCACAATAATTCCGGCCAGGGCTCGAACCCAGACCGCTCGATCCGTAGTTGAGCGCGCTAACCATGAGGCCACAGCACCTGCTTGTTCCATGTCTCGCCTAGGGCTGGGTTTTCTGACACAATGAACATACTCAGATTATCTGTCATCCTGTATAGTGTTTAACAAAGCTGTCAGAGTTCATTCTAACTGCGAATAACATTTCCCAGTGAATGACGCGTCTTGTTGACTTATACCTGAGATCTGAGATCTGAAAAATCTACTGATAGCTAAAGCCTGGTTCACACTAGCGACATAACAACATCACGACATCGTCACGACTCACGAACGACATAAAAAGGACGTTATCTCGACGCTGAAAAAGGACTTTATGTTTGCAGTGTGAGCATGTAGACATAATGACATATTAGCAACATAACAGCATGAACATAACGACATAAAGATAAAACTGATCTTTTCTTCATGTCGTTATGTCGTTATGTCGCCAGTGTGAACCAGGCTTAAGAAATGGGTTGACATTTTAATGTAACTGATCAGCTGAGGAATCACTGAAAATTCAGCTAATAACCCAGATCCAATACCCTCATTCAGAGCCTCTAAAATTGGATGCATTCAGGGGCGGACTATTTGAATTTTGAAGGAGGGGGTGTGATTTGCCAGAAAGGCACGAATTTTTAAAAACCCTTTCGAGACAAGGATATTTTTTTTTCTCGAGGCGCCGGCGAGGATGTATGCATAACATTTTTTTTTCTCCGTGTAACATGCTTTTCCCGGCTCACTGAACGTGCGTGCATTTTTTGGGGGGCACTGGTTGTGTGCATGAATTTTGTTATGGTACAAATATGCTTCCAGCCTTCCAGCAAGGCTTCCAGGATATTTTTTCAAAATCACCCACCCTTCCCCTCGAGAGTCAAACGGCCTACCCTAATCAGTTCTGTCTGTCATTGTTCCCTGTTTTACCCTCTGATGAATCAAGTTTTTATGAAACAACTATGATAGGTTCGCGGTTGGGCTTTTAGTGTTCTACAAAAAAGAAAGCCGGTAATTGGTTTGATTTTCTGACCATATATTTTAATTTGGTTTATACGCCACATAATAGCGAAGACGAAAGATGTAAATCTGGCGCATGATTTTCGACGTAAAAAGCTTATATACCTGTTAAGAGTAACAAAACATCTACATGACAACAACGGTCAGTCCACCTTGTGTTTATTCGAGTTTTTGAAAAATCAAAAAAAAAAAAAAAAAGAATACACTGAGTTTATCCTTCTCTTGGCCAGAAAACGTTCGCTGCTAAACGTGGAATTCAGCGACATTTTCTATTTTATTTAATTGAATCACCAAGGAAAAGCGCTTTCGGTTTCCATAGTTGCCTAACTTCCTACAATGATATGTTCCTGTTATTGATATGCCTGTTTGCCATTAAATGGATATAAAATCAGTTGATTCATAAAATAAATATGCAAATATATCACAGTTTAATGACTTTACGCTGCTGGATAATTTTAAACCTTTCTACGACAAATATTTGATCGATTCTGATGTGTTTCCTGGTGTCTTTTCAAAACGTTAATTTTTTTTCTTAGCAAAACAGTAAAGGTCACTCACACTCCTCCACGTTGCACCAACCTACTTACGCCCCTCGAAGAATGGTTACTATAACAACGCCCTTTTGATTGACAAAGTTATCACGTGGCCAAACATGACGTTTTTGTTTTGAAGGACGAAAGTGAGGCGGAGTAAGGTGAGAAGTGCTCGAGTTCCTGCAAACTAACATGAAATTTTCTGACTTTTTACAAACCTGAGGCGTCTTGTTGAAGATGCGGAGACGTCACAAACAAGGTAACTTCTGGTGGCTCTGCACTTTTCTTGCCTGTCCTGGAGCTGTTCGTCGCTTTGCTGAATTATCACGCGATTGTGCCTGGTTGTGACTAATTGTGGGCTGTCATCGCGTGAACTCAAATTTCAACTTGTCACACGCTGTAGATTTCAATTCTTCAGCATTTTGTGGAAGATTTCGATTAAAAACTGAAATTGGTGATAGCATTTTTGTTCTTTTAATTTTCTAGGTTCTTTGTCGGCAAATGGAATGCGCTCGATGTGGGAATTTGTTTTTGTTTCCCAGTTCCTGCGGGTATTCCACGGGAAGTTTGGTTTCGTCCGCTTCACAGCCGAGGTGCGCATTAAAACGATAGTTTGTTGCAAAGAAAACACTAAATCCTATGGAACTCGCTTAATCTTGCATTTTTTCCTCGTAGTTTTAGACTTTGTAGGAATTTTTAGCGAGATTTGTATCATGGTTGTTGATTAAACTCACGCTCCAATTTACAAGTTGTCCGTTTGCTGCTTGTACTTGAGTTTACGTTATCTTGAACGGTTGATTTCTAATTCCTGCTGTTGGATTGTGTTGACGGCTTGTCTTGCTTAACAGGAATTAGAGAATGCCTTCTTGGAGCCCCAGAACTCGACCCTGTTTGGAATATTCTCAGACCTTCTTCGAATCTTACTCCCCAAACGGGATGTAAAGTGAGTGAAGTATTTGTATGTTTTACTGTGATAACGGAAGCGTTTATAATGGCGTATAATGAAAACCTCAGCTGATACGATTCACGTTCTCAGCTGTGTCCCTCTGTTGTACTGGCCTATTTATTCAATTGTGCTGCAATTCACTTTTCCTGAAGGACAACTACATGGCAGGAAGTCTTAAAAGAAGAGCTGGAGAAAAGGTCTTCAGAGTGGTGTCCGTTCGAGGAAGGAAAACATTACGAAGAATTTAGCCCAGAGAATCGGGTGAGTTTTTTTTCCGAGTTGGTTTTTCACATTAATGACTATCGATGTGGGCGTTTTGTTTGTCATGCCTCGAACGTTCTGAGGTTGATAGGCTAAATACTGTTAACAGATTAAACTAATTATTTTCGCAAATTGTACAAGGACAAGAAATTCGCTTGCACAGTTTCAACAAGTGCGACAAATTGAGCGAGTGTGGGGTTTCAATGCAAAATGGCGCTCGACGCGAACCGTGCGAGTCACTTTCATATTTCTCTTTTGAACCCGGTAAAATATTTTCATCTGTAATTTCAATGTCGAACTCTTATACCTAACGGTGATATAGTGCATATCATTTTAACGAAGGTCAAGTGCAAAAGTGATAATCCTAAAGCCTTTGCAATTGGATATAAGTTTGAGCTCAAATTAGCCTGGAAAATAAACTAAGCTTTAAACCTTAATGTGAATGTAAAGTGACAACGTAACCTTTTTCCTCGTTAATTTTGTTATGTTAAGTTTTTGTTGTCCACTAGCCATGATAATGTTGTCATTGTTGATGGAACTATTGTCTGTTGAACTGTTTTGATATCATAAGCATAGTACACTTCAACAATATAACCTGGTGATGGTACATTTGTAGACTGTGGAGACTATGAAAAGGAGGAACATATTTTTCAATCTGAAATATTCATTTTTTTGTTATTTGCAACTGTCCTTCACTTTTTCTAGATCACATTTCATCGCACAGTTTGAATTTACAATTTACAATGTTGCTCACATCTTTAAGACTGTATGAATTCAAAGCTGATTCCCACGTTGATTTATTGTAATGCTGAAGCAGTGGGGAAGCTTTACATTTTAGTGTTGAGCTTCAATTTAGTTCCGTGCAGCAACAAATTGTACTGAAAGACCCACATTGCATCATTATAGGCTAGCACTGACCCTGACTAGGGGTGGGGTGGGAGCACTAACCACAAATTTGGGAATGGGTGAGCTTCCTGAATGACAGCATGTCAGAAGCAACCATTTCTCACAAAAGACTTAAAAATACGTACATTTAGGCTTGTTGAAGCTCAAACAAGTGAGCACTTCAATCAAGCAGCTGCAACCCTCTTATGATGATGTACATGAAAGTATGTAAGCCCTTTCCCTATCAGGGATGTATACATGTAATTAATAATAATAAATAATAATAATAATGATAACTTCTACGAGTAACTATAAAATAACTTAGAATAGTACAAAGTATGAATATTAGTTGCAAAACAAGTCCACAGTTAAAAACTATATTTAAATTATAATTAATTATTAAAAATTAAAAATTATTTCAAAGCACATGAATAGCCCTTTTCACAACACTATGCTAAGAAATGTTTTTTCATGGCCGAACTAAAGGAGCAATGGACGTATACGTTACGTGTATATGTCCTCAGACAAAGAGCATTACTGAGTGCCCAGTTGTTTATGATGGCTTGAACAAAATCATTATGGTTGCTGGTTAGAGAGGGTGTTTGATTCTGGTGGGGAGGGGATTAAGATTGCATCTACGTCTTAGCCACGTGAATGGTAACGTTTGTTTAATGCTTCATTTGCAACTGATGAAGGGGTTTTCCTGAAACATCTCAAAAAATACCATTTAGAACCTTAATTTTGAACTAAAATGAAGTAATTCAATTCAGTCAAAGTGCTACACAGCAACAACTTGTTTTTTATTTCTAAAAGGGGTTAAAAATTGTTGTGGAAATTTTAGATTTTCCCAAATGTAGACGGTGCAGACCAGACACAATATTACTGGCAATATGACATTATTTTGGGGATTCTGATGGCGGAGAATTTTGGTCGTTGAATTTTGTGTAAAGCATGACACTGTTCGATTGCTAAAACCTACTAGTGAAATGTGTAGCGAAACAATACGTTAGTCATTATGCCAACAAGGGTCGCATTGTTTTCCGTTCTTTTTCAAGCATTTTATCAGAACTAAAATTAAGCATTTGCAGTGCTAGAAATTACTTGAACCTGTTACTTCAAGATGTAATATTACACGTGCAACTGTCCCAATGACTCATTGTGACAGCCATTTTTTGAGGATGTAAGATTTTCTGCAAATATTTTCCTTGCGTGCAAACTCAGTATTATACNGTCAAATTACCAAATCATTACTGTAAACAGCTCCATGAATGCTCCTATCTCCGAGACTTCACCCGAAAAAATAACTCTTGCATACCTTGCGTGCCTATGTTTTTAAGTAACCATTTTGGGATGCTCAGAGGGCAAATTACTGTGTATTACAGAGCAAAGTCTTCTGTTTTCTTAGTTCTCCTCGATCTATTACTTATTCAATTGCTCAAAATGACACTTGTATGTTTGTTTACATCTATATTAGAAATATACCTCGATTAATTGCAGGCAGTGGGCTACTTTCAGTATTTCACAATACTTTGCCATTGTCCAGGTTATGCTAAGTAGTAAGGGTTTTCTAAGAATCTCAACCTGCTTCTGCTTGCATGGCAGAAGAGTCATCATATTTCCTTCTAAACAAGCCCCTAGACAATTAAATTTTCATGTATGACAAAGTCCTGCGTCTGTTAGTTATTACTAGCATGATCAAAATGTTGCAGTTTTCTTCAAGCTGTTTTCTGTCTGATGTGCTAACTTGACTCATTATTGCAGTTTTATTGATGGATGTTTTCATTTGTTTTTTTGTAGTTGTACTGATGGATATCCACTTTTGTTATTGCGGTTGTGTTGTTTGATGCATATTTGTTTGTTTGTTATTTGCAGTTGTATTCATTTGATGTGTGTTATTTGTTGACAGTTATTTTCAGAAGTCTACTAACAGTAATGAGAAGAAGCTGTATAAATACCTGAAGAATGAGCTCTATCCAGCTGTAATGCCAACAGTAAAGGTACGTCATTGCCATGGAATATAGATTTACTACCACGTTTTCTAAAATGTTTTTCTATAGCATTAACTTTTTTTAGGGGAGTTTCTTTTACAAAGGGATAACCTCAATTTAACTTCTTTCTTTCAAATTTAGATATTTTTTTTTTGTTTTATTAATGTAAATATACATGAAGCTATTTACGCATTTATCTCCCTTACAAGTTCACAGTAACAAATTGCTGCTGTCACTCCAAAGTTCTTGATGTTTTAACTTTTCACGTTAGGCTCAATCTGTCTAGCTTCTAGTTACATTTACAAACTTTTAAAAAGTCAAATGATTTGTTGTCTTGTGGTAGTTGTGTTAGACTCAAGATAGAGTGGTCTGGGTTCAAGTTCTGTGTAGATATTTTTATACCTTAAATCATTCCTTCATGTTACGCTTCAGCAGCCTATCAGGTGTGTTTGGTTGAGCTATGGTTTGTATTTTGGTGAGATGTAGTCCAGACAAAATAATACCCATGACGAAACCAAGTGAGCCAGATATGCTGCTGAAGCACACTGAAAAGGTGCGATTAGGTATTTACCATGACCCAAATTCGGCCAAATGAGCATGTTATTGCAGCCATAACAACAACAACAACAAAATTTTATTCCTTTTTCAGTAATTTACAGCCATGAATTTCAGGTTAATTAGTTGTCTTACAATTCTACACTTTATTATTAAAAATAATTAAGTAAGAAACTTAAATATAATACCAGATGAACCCACATGTAGTCTAGGCTAATCAAGGCGGGCCACTTCTATATTTATATTATACCATTAATATGGAATAAGCTTACTATCCAACAACTTAGACAAAGATTTACAAAAGTGTTTATTACAAGTGTTACTGGCCATATCAGGCCAGTGACTTGATATCGTAGAATATCAGGACAATAGACACAGCTTCTGATTGGCTAATTGCAAATTTGGGTACGGTAAACACGAAAAGTCTCTCTCTCCATGAAGGGTACTGGTGAATAAATGCCAAGGGGTAATTCACTAGTACCTTTTCATGCTAAAGAAACTCCAGTGTTTAAGTCATTTTGAATTATATGCACCTATTGTAGGAAGATGAGAAAGAAAAGGAATTGGAGACCTTAAAGAAGGAAAGATCCTCAAAGGCACATCAGAAGGTATGCATGTAGATATGCTAATTCACACTGCTTACGGCTTCCAGGGGTCTTCAAGTCTTGTTTACAGTAAAACGTGCTTCAATTATTTCAGGGATGTTTTTGAAACCATAATCTGTCGCATTTTTATCACTGGAGGTCACAAAGTAGTGTATTTTGAGGCTCTTGGGTTTTTCGTAATTTGTTCAAACTTTCTTTCAATGAAGCAAGGCTCTTACTTCCTATAAATTGGCTCGAAATGTGTGCAAAAGGCCATATTTAATGGAATGATACTTAAACATTTCCCCTGCTGCCTATTAAATAATTCTGGAAAAATCTAACCTCTAATTTGGCAAAATACAATAAACATCCTAGAAACATGTTCATCAGGTTTGAGTGTTTAAGGACCTCCTTTAGGAAAAAGCGTTCATGTACATAATAATATTGTACTGTGCTTTTGTAAGTAATTGGTAGTGTAAATTGAGCCTTGACTGTGACTCTGAGAAAAATGAATGGGTACACAACTAAAAAAATATGAGTTTTTGTTAGAGGAGTAGCTGGAGTACAGACCTCTGCTATTTCCTTCACTTTGTGCTAAGCAAGGGAAATAGAACACATGTGCACACGGGCCGCTATAGAGGAAGAGAAACAGAAGTACAAGTGTGGCTGATATTTGTTGCACTACACTCCATACTACTGTGGAACTATTTGACTGGTCTTTTGTGCTGTTGTGTTTGATGGAAGGAGTGAAAATGAAGAATAAATACCATAGTAATCCCATTTGTATTTTAAAATGATACAAGGATAGTTCGTGGAAAACATTGTTTGAGAATAGATTGTACGTGATGTTGTGATTGGTTGAATATTGCTAACATTAATCATGTTTTGTATGTTACAGGCAACTTCAAGACACAAAACAGATAAACATGAAGCAATGAGAAAGGAGGAAGAAAAAGTCAAGACAAAGGTAAACAAACGATTACTGAGCCTGATTCTACTAACCAAGTAAATGTAAATATCTTGATTGACCACTCCCCCAATGGGGCTTTTCAGGGCCAATGGAATCAAATGATGAAACAAATAATGCAAGTGAACATAACATGGTTAAAAATCCTAACTGGCAGGAGGCAGACCGGTTGGCTATTTGCAAACGTGGCCGAGGAGTTGAACTAGGGTCTACCGAGAAACAACTCCAGCTTAACCCGTGACCTCCGGATTTCAAGTCCGGCACCCTAACCACTCGGCCACACTATACCTTGAGGTGGCTGGTACCAGTTTTCTCGCGCGGGGAATAGATCACCATCGTGCGTCGCGCGTGAGAAACACGCGCGATAGAGGCGCGAGACTTAAAACCCGAAAGACCAAAACAAATATGGCGGCGCGCGGCTTTTTTCGCGCAAGGTCACTTTTGTACTGTTGGAGACGAAATTTGCATATAAAGTAGGCTTTACCTGCTAGAACAACTGTAGTCAATTCTGTGTATTTAAGAAAAATTGTTTCGGGAATCCAGTGTTTCCCAAATTTCAAAGGAAACTCGATCGATCGTGCAGCCACCGAGAGCCTATAGATCGTTTTCACGTGACGTCATCACTTTCTAAAATCCAAAACTAAACAGCCACCAAAGTTTTTATCCTCGTCAGGCATAAGAGGCGGTATATTTATATCTGTTTACAATTTTACAGCTCAATAACGTGCTTCGTTTGGAATCCAGA